ACTCCTGTGGGTCTGATGAGCCAGGTCATCAGATCCACACAGTCCAATAGATCCGATTATCCCTTTTCTCCACCTGGCTGGAGGCGGGACCCCTCTAATTCTGGTCATAGTATTTGTTGCTCACTTCTTGTAAATATGAACTGGAGGTCCCTTCAAGAGGATCAGAAGTAACATTAGCCCTTCTATTCTGTCTGAGGACTTGTCCACTGGAAATTGGAGTGGCATTTATCCTTGAAGAATTTCCTACAGTGGAAATGCTGCTAGGGCAGATGTGGGTTTTCCATCCCACTTCCTCATGTCCTCTCTGTAGTCATGCAGGTAAAATCACAGGTTACATTGTGGTGTGTACCCTCTCTCTCAAGCAGGGGGATGCTTGTTCCTAATAGCAGAGACTCTGGTTCATACTGGCGGAGCATGGGACATTTCCTCTTTAAATTGCTTGAGGTCCTTGGACAGTCTTTCCACAGCTGGGACATGGGTTGGTAGGGAAGAAAAGAGACAGTCTTCATATTGCCAGTCAGGTAGTCACCTGAAGCACTGTTTGTTCTCCGTCTTTCATTGACATCACTGCCAATGAGTTGGCATAAAACCATGGCGCTCTCCATACAAACTTCCACCACATGGATTGTGTACACTGGACCTCATGTGGATCTACAGGGGACTGCTCGTTATTTGAATCCCTATAGATTACCTCCAGCACAGCTCATTCTCTCAGGTACTGGATACCTATCTCCATGGCGTTACACCTGCCTGTGTGCACTACTAGATCATCCTTGAGAAAATACCTTTCCCTCACACTTGACAGGAGTCATCTCCAGAGGCTGAGACTTTTTGTCCTCTTCCCAATCCCCTTGTCAATCCTTGCATCCTGGGACAGGGATCTCAGTTGCTTGTCTTCACTACCATCTAGTTTCATATTGTGGGCTGTGATATCCCAGCATCGGAGCAGCCAGGTCACCCGGGGCTCACCTGACTGGCAGCTGAAATCTTTTTGCATATCTCACAGCTCACCCAGGGATAGGGTTCAGGTGATTATCTCCAGTCCTGCCTCTTCCTCCTGTTCTGAGGGCTCTGCTTCCTCTTCATTCCTTACTAAGCAAACTGATTTTGTCTTGGATTTCTTCTTCTGTATAGGGGTGACTGCTACTGGAACAGGTTGTTCCTTTTGTTCAGCTGCAGTTTGATTGACCATGGTGCCTCTTGGTTTGCTTTCCTCCTCCTCCCCCTGAGAGTGCCATCTAGTATTGAACTGTGTCCAGTAAAGAGTAGCCAGGGCCCAACACACTGCTTTAAGTTGCTCCTCTCTGGAGTTGCTACAGTATTCTCCTTGCAAATATTCTGTCACTTTATCAGGGTCCTGTAGTTGTTCAGGGGTAAATTTCCAAACAATTGGAGCAGACCACTCTGGTCAGATCTGTTGCTATCTCAACTCTTTGTGCCTCATGTTGAGCACCAAATAAGGCTGTCATGGTTTAGGAATGATATTCCTCAATTTAGTGTTCCCACTGAAACTCTCCAAACCATGCACTGCTCACTCACTCCCCCTCCCCCTGAGGTGGGATGGAGAAGAGAATTGGAGGCACAAAAGGTAAAGATCATGGGTTAAGAACAATTTACTGGAAATAGCAATGAAGTAAGAAACAAACAGTAGCAATAGCAATATTAATAACAGAGCGTACAAGAGAGGTGAACGATTTACACACAAGTGCTCACCATGCAGAACCCAGCGTTACCCTGACTGCACAGCCCACCACCAGCCTGAACAGAAGGGCCCATCCCCCTCCACCCCTTGTGTATGGAGTGAGGTGGTATAGAATAATCTCAGGGTCCTGGCTATGCCCCCTCCTGGCTACTGCAAAAATTTAACCTTGCCCTGACAGGACCCAGGACACAACTCTGCTCTCGTTTTTCTTCTTACATTGAAAATTGTAAACTCAAACATTTAATGATTGCTGAGGTCAAGACACCCACCTACCATCACATCCCCCATGAGTCCTCTATTCACAAATAGCGAGTCTAAGAGGGCATCTTTCCTAGTTGACTCACTGAGTACCTGTGACAAGAAGTTATTTCCTACAAATTTCAAGAATTTCCAAGACGTGCTCATCTCAGCAATATGATTTTCCCAGTTGATGTCTGGAAAGTCAAAATCTCCTGTAGGGACCAGGGTTACTGATCCAGAGATTTCTTCTAATTGCCTATAGAAGAACTCCTCAGTGTTTATATCATGACCGGACGATAGATAGATACCCACTACAACATCTGCTTTTGTTTTCCATACCCTTAATCCTCACCCAGAGGTTCTCAACCACAAAATCAGCAGTTCATCAGTCTGGTCACACCTCTCACAAGCTTGCTTGCTATCACTTTCCACCTCTAGGAATATCCCTGCACGCATCTGTTACAATCTGCTTAAATATTGCAGAAAGAACTTTTAGATCCGAATATTCCCTTGAGCAAAATTAAAACTCATACGAGTTATCTGTTGATACCAAAACTGTTTTTATTAATTGCTAAGAGATGCAAAGAGAAAGAGGAAAAAATAAGAAAAGGTTGGAAAATGCTAAGATTACTTTTAGAAGCAGAGAAAAGATTACCACCAAACTACCTTTTCCGTTGAACTGGTCTGGGGGGGGGGAGAGAGAGGAAAGCAGTTTTCTGCCTTTTTTTTTTTCTCTGTCTCTTGCCGCTCTTTGGTGTTATCTCTTTAGCCGCAGGGGGTCTTTCACAGCTTCAGTTCTCTGGAATGCAGCCAGGATGTGGGCTCCGCTGCTCACACCGACCGTGTCCCAGGCTGGGCAGAGGCCTCGGTCCCGCTGTACCTCTCAGAAATATGGTCAGGGTGGCACGGTGAGTCTCAGTCCAGTCCACTTCAAGATGGCAGAGGTCCGGTTTTGGGCAGGCAGCTTACAGTGGCAGGAAAAAAGGTGAGGGCCAGGCGGGGGAGAAACTCTCAGCTGCTATAGCCAAATGTCTTTCCCACTCCTCTTTCCCTACTTTTCCCAAATTTCTCCTCAGCTTTTATAGTGTTCAGAGGAGGTTCTTGTGTGGTTTCTTGGCACGTAGCCCTGTTCAGATGTTTGAAGAGATATAACCATGAACAATAGCAGGATCTTTTGACAGTAAGACTCCAGTGGGAAATTCTGGTGAGAACTTCTGGTGGAAAACTGACACAGAAGTTTTGGTTGGAAGTTTTTGACAGGCAGAAACAATGGCGAAACATAATTTTTGGCATTTGTATGTTATCTGTCTGTTACAGCATCCCACAGCTGGAAACCTGTTTGGTCACATGCTTGAAGAGCAGCTCTTTCTAACTGCATTGGTCCTACCAGGCACAAGAAGCAGAGGACAGTGTTTTTTGTCAAGTGGTCACCATGTTGCCCACTACTGTGCACATACCTCCTGGGAAATACATATATTCATCTGTTGCAATCAACTGAGTAGCTTATTGTTTTTGCCTGTTTAAATCTCCTGCACTGCTGGATGCAGGCTCTACCCCTTGTTGTCTCTTCCAATCAGCGGGTCCAGGGTCAGTTGCTGGGGTAAGCCCCCTGTTCAGACAAGCCTTTTCTTGTCCACGTGCGTCCTGCAACTGCTTGCTGCTGCTGCTGCTGCTCCTCACACTAGTCCTGTTTCTCTTGCAATCAGTTTTGTTTGCATCTTTGTTCTTTTAGGTTTTGATCTGGCAAATAGCTTAAACATCTGCTTAAGTTGCAAGACACTTAAAGTTCACGTTGCCATCCAGTTAACCTTGAGATAAATATCTTTGTGTTCAGGATGTCTTTTGTTAAAAATTTAAAATGAGGTATGAGCCTCAGTCATGAGTTGCTGAACTGGAGTCTGACAGTGTGGGTGGAAACTGCATTATGAACGAAGAGATGACAGCCTGCACATAGGAAAGGTTAGTACATTTAGTGCAGACTGGGGACCTTATAGCCAGAGCAAAATATATGACACAATCACAAAGTAGTTTTTGCACAGTATGAAAGGAAAAGCTGGCTTCTGTTTTCATTGCTGATTCCTGCACAGGGCAGATTTGTTTTATACTGCTGTTGTGGTCATATTTTTAAACTCATGTTACATCAAGAGATCTTTAAATGGTTTCTTTGGATCAATACTGAAAACATAGTTTTGGGTTGATAAAAAGCACCTGTGTGGTAAAGAGGGAGTGCTTCAAATACTAAGTAGTCCAGATGCATTGATCTGAGGTGGCTGCTTTGCTTTTAGTTATAGTGGATATGCATGGCTCCCTGTGCTGTTCAGCTTCAGTGGGAGCAGTTTGATGAATGAAATTGCTTTTTTTGTTTGCACCTCCACCCATCATGTATTATTTCTTTTAGTGCATTGCCACTATGCAGCTATAGTAATTTTAAATTGAAGGCTTCAGATATCCTTAACAGTTGTTTTCTATCATCACATTTTACATTTCATGCTTCTGGACTTCTCTGCCAGAAGTCTGTCAAAAATTCATGTAGTCAATTAAAAAGTAAGAAGAAAACATAGGCCCACTGTGATCTCATCTCATCTCATTCTCCTGACAACTTGAGTCCAGTTTCCTGCTCTGACCAGCTTCCATTTGGGGTGTTACAGGTGGATTTCTCCTGCTCTTATGTGTATCTAAGGAGTAGTTCAGGCAAATCAGCACAGAAGCTGCTCATGACCTTTCTACTTTCACTGCTGCCAAATGGGCCTTTGGGGTGAAGCAGTAGAGAGGCATCTCATTGCCCTTAAGCATCTGGCCAATCATTTGCTGATGTAATCTCTTTCCCCTTGAGAGGTCTTTGAAAGATGATGTTGCTATTACCCAACTCTTAAATGGCCCCCTTTTGCCACATCCTATTTATGTCCTCAAGGGCATCCTTGTGAGAGCAAATGTCATTGACATAATTGAGTGGAATAGGATTGGCCACTGCAGCAACTATTTTCCTTTCTGTCTCCTCCTTTCCCCTTCTCATATTACCTGGAATCCTGTGAGCACACCAACTTGTTATTCCCTTTACACTCTGGGCTCACTGCATGTAACAGGACGTGTCTACCTTCAGCTTCAAGGTCAGTTTAACTAACTATTGCTTATCTTATTTGAGGTAACTCAAACGGTGGCATTTCAAATATAAGGCTTAGTAAAAATTAATTGAAAGTACCACAGGATGTGATGTAACTTGGTTATAATTTACTGATTTGCATAACTACTTAGTGCAGGAAAATGTGTCAGCCCACTGTGAAGCTCCTTCAAATGTCAACCCTTAAGTAACAGTTTAAATAAGGGGAAACATAAGTTCCTTTGCAGAGGTTCAGAGAAACCATCTTTAATTTGGGAAGTTATTTGAGAGTTAGAGTTTGTAACTCTCTGCACTGTGGAGATTAGGTTTTCATATTGTAAAATAGTGGTTGACTGATTCAAAAAGGCAAGCATTCCCAGGACCTTTGACTGGCTTCAGCAAGAGAACTTGGGGTTCTAAATCTCACCAGGTCAAATTTAATGGAATAGATCTTTATCTGGTAGAAATCAAAAAGTGTTGTGACTAAAGAGCAGTTGTTTGACCTATTAAGAGTCTCAGTCTTTTCTGTATCTCTTCCTTTCATAGCAAGGAATTTGGCATTTTCTGGTTTATTTTTTTTAAAAAGAGGCTTAGATTTTTATACCGGTTCACTGACCTCTGGAATTACGAGGAGAAAAGAAACTGAATTTTAGTTTATTTTTCCTAGAGACATTCCATGCTATGATTAAGACATAATTAGAATTATGTCTGCACTAACATTATTTCTGCACTCTGGAGATTTTTATATTAAACAGAGATCAGTCAGAAAGGTTCAGGTCTTGCTCAGGCTGAGCTGAGAAACTGGAAAAAAACCCCACCAATTAATTGAGATTTAATGTTTTAATTTAGATCTTATCCTCTGACCTTGTAGAGTGATATAGCAAACCAAAAGCAATGTAAACTGTCTTTTAGGCATCTAAAAATGGTATATCAGGCATGTAGTTACTTATGACATTTCTTGCAGATGTTTCTAAGGTGCCCACAACTGCTGTAGAAGAGCAGAGAAAAATTTTCACTGGCTTCTGTGGGTTCTAGATCAAGCTAAGGATGACTCAAAGGAATTATTTCTCCAATATAAAAGACCAGTATCTTTTGTAACCCATTTCTCCACTACATGGAAAGTTCTGCTCAGTACAGTATCACCATTAGACAGCTTAACAGTTTAAAATTTGCATATATGTTATTGGCATTTATGTGTCTGTGTGAACTTTAGCTATGACTCTGCTATTCCTCTAAAATGTCACTCAGGATCACATGGTGTGGCATTTAATATACCCATGACATGATTCAAATATTTAAACTAGTTCTATTTCTAGAAATGTCACTGATCAGTCTGTAACCCTTGTACCTTCTTTCCATCCTTGGCTGAAAGAACATGTGCTGTCTAGTGTAAAATAAAGGATAATCGACATTTATGTTCAACTACATGACTATCCACCTAAGAAAACAGAGCTGACAACTTTCTCTTTAAAATAAGTTCAAGAAAGTAAAGGATTAATTGCAAAAGAGTTTGTTTATATTAAAAGTAGTAGCAAAGACTGCAAGTTCCTTAAAGGGTAAAGAAGTGGTTTGTGCATTTATGATGATTCAGTCTCTGAAATAGATGGAATGGTTTCACCTATGTGCAGATCACAGGATCACTGTGTGCAGTATGATACCGCTGAAATAGTCTGAACAAGGTTGTAGCCATGAATCAAATGTCCAGAAGAAATCTATGCAACCTTTGGTCAGAATAGCAAGGGGAGTTTTGGTGCAATAGAATTTCCGTAAGTTATTAATTAAAAAAGGTATCTTTTTAGTGTTGGTGAGGGACCTGATCTATAAAAAATGGATTTCTTTTGAAGCCTACATTGGCCTTTAACAAAGACTGTAATCTAGATGTATTGTGAAGAGGGACAACTGGTTTAATGCCATAAAAGAGGCATTATCTTTTTTTTTCATCCTGTGATTCAGACTGTGGCTACTAACAGCAGCTCCACCTTAAATGATATTTGGAATCCTTTGGGTTGTTTATCAGCCAGCATCAAAATTTATGCAGTGACTTTTATTGAATCTCGGGGCTGGGTTTTGCCTCTGCATTCTATGTATGGTAGGTTTTGTATATATAAATGGAATTTTAAATCATAATACACTTCTGTCAGAACACTAATGTTTTAAAGACTGATTACAGGTAGCTGAGCAAATCCTGGGGAGAGAAAAAAGATAGGCTATGACCTCCAAGATTGTTTTTGCTGATTCACTGGAAGTCAGATTACTGAATATTGTTCTAGAAAAGGCAATTACAATTTGGCTCTGAATTTACTTACCCTTTATAGTGCTGATGTGGTGAGAGATCGGGAATAATTGTGTTCAGCTATGAAGAAAACTTGTGTTTTGCAGACACTTAATGCTATATGTTGTATTGAATCCAAAAAATCCGGTATAAGGAACTGCTCAGAGGCTTTGCATCTTTTGAGCAGCAAAGGTATTTATTGCACAATGTTGGGAGCAAGCGTGGTTCGCACCACAGAAAACTTGCTCAAAGGTTTCACACAAAATCAGGGTTTTTATACAATTTTCATATATGATTAAATGCATATTCATATGATTACAACATCTATCTATACATATTAATAACAGGGGGAGTATAGGCAGAGCTCAGGCGGAGCTTAGGGTGGTGCTTCTCTTGGCCCTTATTTTCGGGGGTACATCTGCTCTTCATCCCAGGAGTCTGGGGTCTTTTCTCATCTTCATCAGTCTGACCTCTTTATCTTTTCGTTGTTCTTGACCCACTCACTGAAGCTTGGAGAAAGCCTTGGCTCCAGGCCTATTTCTCCTATTCAAATGTCTACCTTATCTTACCTTATCCTAATTTATTACCTCTAGGCCTATTGTATACTGCTTCTAGCATTCTTCTAAGTTTTGGTCCAGTGGGCAGAACAGAACGAGCCTTAGTAGCACAGGCCGATTAGATGTTGGGGGGCCTTCTTAGCAGACCCAGATATCTGAGTTAACTCTTTTGGGCCTAGCTTCTCATTTCAGTATGGCTTAGTGACTTACTTTAAGTCAATGTAGCATTTATTCCCCTCACAATTAATCACTTCACACATGAAGTGGCCACTCCCTGTTATAACGATCCACAAGATGGTTTGTAAGGAATTAATCAAAACTGTTCACTATAGGAGTAAACCTGCTGCATGGAAAATACATAGCAGCTGTTGCTGAGCCAATTGTTCTGTATTTCTTCACTTCTGTAGAAAAATATTTTTGCTTTCTTTAAGTTATAGTACAAGTACAAATGTCCTTGGAAATAAAACTTTAAAGGACTTATTGCCAATGACAAATTCCACTCTCAGAACTATTGATCTGTACTTGAGCCAAAGGAATGCGTAATCCTGGAGGGATACAAAAGATATATTAACTAGTTATCATGAGGTAAATCCAGCAGTCAAATTGTGAGCAGAATGACATAATAAAGGTAAAATGTATAAGGCTAGTTGTCCAACCATTTTGTAAAGCTGTTAGTTAGATTCAAATCCCAGGAGTCATCAAAATGTCTTGCATCACACTTAGCTAACAAGAGAAAAATCCCTCCCTCTTACCCACAGGAAAATCACCTGATGCTGAATACCAACTGATACATGTATATTTTACCCTCCACATACAGCAATTAATGGATATGCAATTGTGGGTACTGCGGGGTATGGGCCAATCACCCCTGGCAGTGGTAAGCAAAAGCAGAAGATTTAATGACTTGATTAAGACCATCACATTATGACCAATAACCATGTCAAGCCACTTGCATTGGAGAGTTGGTGAGCCAAACCCCACAGTGATGCCATGTGCAGTAAACACAGGTGCACCCTCCCAGTTGCAGCATAGACTGGTATAGCAGTGCATGAGGTGCATTTTTTGTATCTGTAACCTGCTATGGTATTTGAGAAGATCCTGCTTTTCTCTAGCTGGGATTCTCTTTCTGATATTCTTTTCATCAGCCTGCAATAATGTCAATGCTGTCTTAATCTTTGGTTCTGAGTTAGTGTTCCAATTTATATTTCCACACTGTGAAATACCAGTTCTCATTTATTCACTCTGCACTGTTGTGTTTCCTGATGTGTTAACTTTAGTTTATCTGTATATAGAATATATACAGTACTCTAGATTCAACAGTCTTACACTGAAACAGTTCATTTTAGATCACTTCCCTGAATATTTCTAATACAGTGGTCAAAATGGGTTAGGAGCTGAAAACCCTGACATCATCCAATTAATAAAGGAAGAAGCTGTCTGTAATGCTTTGGAAAAACACTCATTACTATGGGAGTATCATCTGAGTGACATATGATTGTGGTCTCTTGCTACAAATCCTAAAAGTGTCCTTCAAATATATAAAATAAAATTACTAAACTTTATACTTCAAAAAAGTGTTGTGTACAATATCACAGAAATTAGACCTCATTTAGACAACTAAAGGAGAAAAGTTTAAAGAACTTAAAATCAAGGCTAATTAAGATGCAATTCAGTCCTATATGTTTCCAAAATAAACTCCAAACTTGTATGTAGCTTGTGGTGCATTGAAAGAACTAATTTCTACAAAGATTGGTGCAGTTATAAACCAACTAGCAGAGTGGTGGGTTGACCCTGGCCAGCAGCTAAGCACCACACAGCTGCTTATTCACTCTCCCAGCCCACTGGGGCAGGGGAAGGAATAGGAAGAGCAAAGCGAGAAAACTCGTGGGTTGAGATAAAGATAGTTTAATAAGCAAAGGAAAGAGGAAGAAAACAAAATGAGTGATGCAAAGGCAATTCCACAAGTAGACTGATGCTCAGCTAGTCTCCAAGCAATGGCTACCTTCCAAACCCCTCCTCTCCTCAGTTTTTATTGCTCAGCATGATGTTGTATGACATGGAATATCCCTTTGGTCAGTCTGGGTCAGCTGTCCAAGTTGTGTCCCCTCCCACCCTCAGCCTACTCACTGCAGGGAGCAGAGCTGGAAAAAAGAGAAAGCTTGGATACTGTACAAGCACTGCTCAGCAATAGGTAAAACACTAGTGTGCTATCAACACTGTTTTAGCCACAAATCTAAGACATAGCATCATACCAGCTGCTATGAAGAAAGTTAACTTCACCCCAGCCAAATCCAGTACAACCTCTATATCTTATTCCATACCGTTTACGTCATGCTTGGGTCCCACACTATCCAATACATTGTCATTAATCACCATTCCTCCTTCCTGTCCTTTGCCATACACACAGATATTCCCTTAGTCTATGGGCTTCCCCTGTAAAATGTCCATAAAATGTCCATAGAGTTCACTTAGTCTGCGATTCAGGCTCCATTCATTATGGTGGTCACTCAGGACGAGAGACTGGTGTTGTGTTGAGTTATTGGATGCTAAAACCAGCTCAGATTGGGTTGCTGCTGTACTTGCTTGGTTTCTTGCAAGGCTCATTCTCTGTTGGTTCAGGGGATTCCTGCTATTGTACTTCCTATAATATACAACTAGGGGACCCCTGGTGGTCTAGTGGTTAGGATGCGGCGCTCTCACCGCCGCGGCCCGAGTTCGATTCCCGGTCAGGGATACTCCCCCGAGCAGATGGAGCTCGTCAGCCCTGTAAGGCCATCCATCTATGAGAAGGTCACTCTAAACAAACCTACGTCCTGAGGACCTCACTGCCATTGTCCAAACTCGCTTGGCCCCGGCAGATGAACCTTAGGATTAAAGGGTGGGCTCAGTTCAGTGCATGCTGTGTCTCACCTAAAAAATCCATTGCGCAGGCTTGGCTCCTCCTCAGAACCAATTAAGGTGAGTGAGGGGGGGATCAGGCTCATTAGGTGGTGATAGGGAAGGC